ATGGAGTCTCTCTCATCACAGGTGTTGGTCTCTCACGAATAGAAAAATCAAGTGAAAACGATTTCCTGTTGTCATTTGCGAAGATTGGTTACAATCAGTCCATCAATCTTACCTACATATTTCCTCTGCCACATTATCTAGCCATTCGCTGATTTTCATGTAGGACTATTTCAAACGAAGTTATTAGTGTGCCAGATTTCACTGTGTTTAACGTGAGCAATGAAGGTATTCACAACTGGTATGTCGAATAAAACTCCGTTATTGCTTATTGTTGACATCATAGTCTCATTAAAAGTTCTTGCATCACTAAGGGAATAGCTTAAATGCTTTGTGCTGTTCTAGTATTTTTAGAAATGATAACGAATGTCGTTGTCTATTCCGAATACTTTTTTGTTATGCACTACGAATTTTTAGCCTACTGTAATCGTTATTTCGCGCATTTGAGTATAAATATAAATGTGTACATATGTATCCACTATAGTCAAAGTGTTATTGCTTTTTACAACGTAGGCGTGTCGTAGTCGTCATGATGCGTGATGTGCTCGTGTAATCAGGACGTTCGAGTGATTACGGTAGCAGCTGAAGTTGCACGTTGTGGATCGAAAATGGAAGTCTGGTGATGAATGCTTATAATTTTCTAAGTCCGACTAAACTACGGTACTTATCACGCTATTTCATAAGTTTATAAAGGCGGAGTTTACTGTGAAAAATGAAGGAAAAACGAATTGAGAGAATAAACGCGCAGACGGAAAGCGCAACAGAGCCGCGAGCGTGGTTCGCGCGACCTGTTTTAGACTCGTTCCATCTATACCTACTACCAAGATTATCGATCCAATCTATTACTATTGATTGATGATAATAATCAGTGGGTTTCGTTCTGCTCAGCTTTGCTGTCACTTTTTTTATTACCCTATAATTTTAAATATCGCGCAGTAAATGATCTATACTATGTCGGTAACCATTACTGCAATGTCATTACCAATTCGAATTTGGGACGAAAAGTAGTATCCTTTCTTTTATATTCATACTCCATTTAAGAATTGCTTTTTGACTTGTAAGGATTCTCCGGCTTTGTGAATAAGAAGCAATGAATTATGGATTCGCTTAATACCAGTTTTCTCTACGTTCACTATGTCCAGGGTATCATCGAATTACCTCGTTGAATTCAATGTTTGATTTCACTTCACAGAGTGTCTTTGTGAAAAGGATATTTCTAAAATAAGAAAAGAGAAACAGGTTGTTTCTGCATTTTTTTCTTAGCGAGACTATTTCGGCTAATAAATCTCTTCATGAACATTTGTGATATCAGCATCGATTATCAACCCATTAATTATCCACGGTGGAGAATCTTAGTTAAAGAGTCAACGATTCAGACGAACATCATTCATTGCATCATCTAACATTAAGTTACTAGTATTTTTGGTGCTATGATTCTTTCTCAAAGTACTTGGCATCTTAGTGAAGACTTCTTTCCTTAATAACGCATGTTGTTTTTGTCATCTTCGTATCTTGCCCTACAAAATGTCCTTAATATATCTCCCTATGTTTTATACTGCGCGAAAATCTAGAAATAAGTGAATAATAAGGTAGAAAGAATTTTGGTATTCCTCTAGTAGCACGTGAATGTCGAGCGTGTCGAGTCCGCAACTCGTCAATTTGTTACGAGTAACGGCCGGTGGTGCCACTGTGACGAACTGTCAACGCCGACTGGCACAATCTGAAGATTTATCGCCGTTGAGCAACAATCTGTCTGTTTTCTCTATTTTTCCTTCAAACTACATCATACTTTTGCACCATCACTCTTTCGTTCTCTACTGATGATCTCGTTGACGACCGTACTTTCATGTTCCTCTTTTTCTATGCAGGATCATCACACAAATCATAGCTAACGAATCCGTCGAAATGGTTACGTACATCATTATCACTATTGAAAATGGCTGACGTTTTACTTACTTTTTTTGTTATAACCGTACGTGTTAATTCGATAAGTTACTTCGTTTGGTGTGACAGTGACAAAAATGTGTTGCTGAATAGAGACTTCCAAAAAGAACTTCGCAATGCGTTCATTTAATAAGTAATACGAATAGGTACAGTCAACTGTAGTGATGTATTCTGAATTCGGGAACTTGCCCTGAGTTACAAATAGCACCAAAGAAACGTTTACAGGTTATTCCGCGACCCTTAGTCCTATCGTTTTATACAATTCACATTTACCAATTCTTGTATTGCAACACATTTACGATCTGGAGGCATATCTGTCGAAACGTTAGTCACCATTTATGTTTTCATCCAGTGCTAAATATAAATCTGAAATGGAACTCTCAATAAGGAATCGAGTAATGAATACGTAGCCCGTTGGGGCTAACCCTTGAAAAATTCCTCCGTGAAATCGTTCCAGAAGAATTTGAATCGGTATCTTTTGTTTGAAACTTTTCGTGACTTAAGTTATCTTCAGAAAGAGCAGAACTCTTGACAAAGTTCTTCAGTTAACGAGTGCTAGTTGAGGGAAGTGATCGAAATCTATATGACTGGTTATGAGAAGAATTGTGATTATCCTTATTTTTACCTCAACATGATGAACCAGAAGACTAAATGATTACCGGTTGTTTTTATGTCAAACAAAATCATTGTCGTGAGTTCTAGTATCATTGTATACTTGTCTGAGAAATAATCACAGCTCCCAACTTGAAACAGACCCAACTTATGTCGTACAGAAGTTTGTTAACTCAGGTAATACTTGCTATAATCTACACCTCACTGTTAGGTAGAACTATTTGGCTTCCGGAAAAAGCCAATGAATCGTTTTCCTTCGCGTCGACTTTCTCATCGACGCTCATATTCCAAACATCAAACGATTAAAGAAGAGCGATTTCGTCCAGATGGAGAGAATTGATCTGCATGAATTTCGTCGTTGATAGTGGCAACTACCGACCGCACTTGCGTGAAAAGTCCTTATGCACATGAATTCTAAAGAGCTCCCAGCTTCAGTAATACTCAGAAGAAGGATTCACAGCATTGTTTTCTGTGCTCGTGTTAAGTTCTAGAATCATTAAGTGACTAAGTCATCGAAAAACTATACGACGTTCATCGAAATTTCATAACCGCTGCGTATGTCTTAAAGTAGAAATGTTTGGGGAGAATCCAAAGTGATCATTGTAATTTTCGACACTTTGCAAATAGCTCGTAAACTTTGGGATTAAAATGGAATTCGTTCTCGTTTACTCGGCTCATAACCGCTTAAACTCTATTGTTCCTTGAACAGTGATGAAGAGCTGTGAACTGTGGTATTTTATCAGTCCGACCTTTACAGTATTGAATCGAACGATTATTTTCGTTGTGTAACATTAAAACGATTTTTCATTTTTGTTTAGTCTTCACATCTAATACGGTATTTTAATACTTCTTCCCACTTCTTCAATCTTCCAGATTATGCCACTAATTGACGCTCGATAGCAATGAATATTTCACTGCTAGTATTGCTCGCGTCTGTTATATTATTCATTGATGGCTTAGAGCAATACTATTCCAGAGGTATGTTCAAATTTTTTACCTACAATTGTCACCAATAGAATTTCTTTTCTTCTTAACGAAGCATGGGTATTGATCATTAGATCTATCTATGGTGAGTTTTCACACGTTCTATGTGGTAGCGTCTTTAGTGCTCACTCTCCGTTCCTTAATGACAATGCGTATGATCATTGTGAATGTTTGTGATGGGACGTATGTGGCGCATTCGTTAGAGGTGCTCTCTAATGCACGCAGGATGTTTGGTTCGATCTCGTGACGTGGTGCAAACAACAATCGACCCATCACTGTAGTGTTGACGACAAAGTGACTTATTGTGGAGCATAGAAGCGCTGATTTGATACATTGCTAGACCTTTACAAACCATCTTTGCTTTGATCAAATTTGTATTCAATTACTTCTATTATGCCTTCAATGAAGTTGAATGCATGACACATTCATGACAGGGTGATCAACGCCATATCCTTAATATTATTGCTAGTCCATTTCTGTATGTTTCCATTCTCGTGATTTCTTTCGTTAAACGATCTTATTGAAAGTCTGACTCGCTAGTGACCGCTCTGGTTAGATTTAAATATAAGGGAAACTGAAGTCTCCACTGGAAGGGTAGTATAGGACACCAAACAAAAACGGATGGCGAAAATTCTGTTAAAAAAAACTTGCGTTTCTCTTACAGTAATGATATTCATAAGACCGCTAAACAGTTTTGTACGAATATTTTCTAATCCATAGGATGTTGGCATTACTGCTTAACAACGTCGTACGAACTCGTATTTCATAATTCATAAGACGTCAGTATTACTGCTACACACTTTCGTGCGAATGTTTCGTAACACATCGCGAAGAATGTCTTAACGTGTGATGTTTTTGTGATTGACCGTTAGTTACTTCGTGCCATATGACATCGTGCAGACCTTCGCTATAGAGAAAGCAGAAGCGGTAAGTAGGCGAACAAAAAACTCACTAACATCGTTGCGTCCCTGCCGTATGAACTTTACAACTGAGATGTAGAATTTTTGCATAGAAGACAATGCAATAGCATCGAACAGCTATCGGTTTTCTTTTAGAGAGATTAATTTTGGAAAAAAATGCGAAGCCTAGGTAAACAATGATGAATCGAGTGATTTCTTATATGCAATACGGTTTTCGCTATTTATCACATAATCTGGTTATTTTGTCATTCACTTTCAATTTTATGCTAGAGAGCATCTCAGTGCGAGACTATCTACCTAATCATGGCCCTGTACCTTTTATACCTGTGTGGTGTATATCTGCTTTGTACCTTGTATATCTTTATATCTTTAAATTTATCTTTAGCTCCGTTTCTCGATTTATGAAGGCTGTTTTTTTTTCAAATTTTAAATCAACCCATAGTCTTCTTGGAAAGAAAGACGGAAAGTAAGGCCTGGAACAGGCATATTAAAATAGCACCATCATGAAACCATCGCAAAACTCTCTGAAAGAACATTTATTTAGATGGAATACCCCGATTCAAAACATTCGAGCGGCTCAATCATGAGGTTTTTCTCGGCGATAAGGTTCGTGAAAAGGGCTTTAACCACTTAAACTTTGTTCTTATAATTGCTTGTCGTCATTCTTACAAAAAACTAGGGGCGACTTTGCATTCTTCTTGTATGGTTGCCGCCATCAATCAAAACGACTTCGTTGCTCGACCGCTTCTCTTCGCACCTAAACACGTTCCCATTTTGACGAGAATTGGACGAAAAACTTGTAAAAAATCTCTCCAAACTTGTGATAACTGGTGATAGGTGTTAGTTGAATTCCAGAGCCAGCTGAAGACATCTAATGAGTTCTGACCACATTGAACGCTTAACATTAAGCATTACTGCGTAGTTAGTTGGTGTAGTGTTCTTTTGCAATACAGATGTGGAGAATTTTAGAGATCATCTACCAATACCTGAAACAAAAAAGAGTGTGGCAAATAGCAATTGAGGTCTTTATGGAGTACATTTTGTTTAGCAGCGCTTAGTCAGGGGATAGAGATCTTTGTTTTAACACTTGTTTTCCATTAATGTGCTGAATACGTGTCCCACCAGGTGAAGAAACATAATCAGTGGAGTTAGTATCAGTAACGGTTTTACGATAAGTCGAAGAAAACACAGACAAACTTCATTTCGAATGGAAATTGTTTGTATCGACTTATTGCAATATACTTAGTTGCCGTTGGTTTCTTTCACAGAATCCTAGAATATCCGCCAGCGCTCATCTGCTGTATCATATACAGCGACCGTAGATGTCATTCATACTCTTCGCTGAGCACTCTATGTGGCCTGCTTCTAATCACTTTGAAAGAATCCTTTTTCTTGAGTGGGTACGGCTTCAATTGCTTAATTCTTTAGGTAAAATTGACTTGCTTGGCAATGTCAAAGTCCCCTTTGGAAGTGAAGTGGTACCGAAATGGTGAACTTCTGAATAAGGAAGCTTTCGGTCATCGCTTTCGTGAGAACAAGAAGCATATGACGCTGGACATTAAAGCCGTTGAAGTCTCTGATCAGGTTTGGCTACTGAATACCGTTTAAGATTTGCGTACAATTCTCTTATACATAGTGAATAATTGTAGGGAATGTGGACTTGCCGAGTAAGCAATCATCTCGGTAAAGTGGATCGAAATTTTACAGTAGAAATAATAGGCAAGTCAGCATGGTTTGAACCGTAATATGGCATGATATTACCTCTCAGCTGGAGTGAGATTCATCATGTAGATGGCTAGGAACCGTCTAATAGACGTGATGGAATTATGCGATGCCGCTACGCAAAAGTAATGGTGTCACATAATGACGTTAGATCTTCGAGCTAGGCCATTATGAATGTCGCTCCCTGTTCACTTTTTAACTTTTCTCTTTCTAGAAGTTTCTGTTTGTGATTTCTGCATGATTTGTTTGCATGTGTGGAGTTGCAGATTTCTGCGACTATTTTGCTATGCGATCGGGTGCAGCATTCGCTTTACCGCCGGCGTCGATTCCAATGGAATGCATCTGCCTTTGGCAGATAACGAACGATAAAGAACGTCACGATATCGACTACTCAATCGCTACTACAACAACATGCAATAAGTATGCGTCCCGTATCGAGAAGCGTGCCCGAAAATCGCGTAAGGACCCAATTGCATGTCTTGACCCACCGTGCGATATGTTCGGTGTGCCTTTATTGGTGATAACGACATCAACAGCGTTGAGGACGACCACGATCACATCGATGACGTCGAGGATGATGACGGCTTTATCGACGACGAAGGTGACCACACGACCAGCGGCGCATGTGCATGCTACGCTTATGAAAGGTACGCTCCGATGATTACATCAGTTTCAGATCCAGTAAAACTATTCGATTGGTTGGCTGACAACAGTGGTGTAAATGTGGCTCATTTGCTTCCACAACTGATTCCGTATCACGAAATGCATCGCATCAATGAGACACTTCTGAACTGGCATTCTCTCAGTCAAGAAAAGAAAGTAGAACGCGCACGTCACATAGTAAAGGCATACAGTGAAAATGTTATTGGTAGGCGTAGATAAAAGTTTACTGTTCTGTAGGTTATAATATTTCATCATATCAAAAGCACAACATAGAGAATGAAAAATTCACAATTACGCCATGTTAGAAATCACGTTCAGCTTCAAAACTACATGATTATTATTATTTTATTTTTTTCGAAACCGACTTTCCTTTAACCTCGGTGTGACAAACCAATATGTATTCTTTCTTTGATGAGCTTACACCAGGTTGATAAGTGTGTTTATTTTCGGCTAACGTTTCGACGTCTTCGTCTTCATCAGAGCCGATGATCCGAGTCGTTAGCCGGAAATAAACATACTTGTTAACGACGTGTAAGCTCTTCAGAGAAAGAATACATATTTTATTCTTTATTTTATTTGATCCGTCTTCACATCTACTGTGCGGCTCCCAGCACTTCTCACATCCAATTCGTTTTCTCGCAACCATCGTCCACGAGGGTCTTCCAAGTTTTTAAGTGTTGCTTCGGTTGCCGTTTGAGGATTTTTATTTCATCTTGAATGGCGTATAATGCTGGTCGAGTAATTCTCTCTCCTTGGTGTCCTGAGATAACTGGGCGGGAGCGTTCCCGTTTGTATTGCAGAGAGTGGCTTCTTCCCAGAGAAATCCGGCACCAACTTCCCCACCACGGAGGGATGAGAGGCTTAACTGGCCAGGAGTGCAATCGAACTAACCATGCTCGTGGTGACAGATATCACTGCCACTGTGCTATCCGCCCATGCTGAACTATTTGATTATAAGAATTTATTTGGAGCAGGATAAAATACACGGCAGTAGGTGGCCGTGACCAGTGCTTACCTTTTTGCGATTTTCGTGTTCATTCTCGACTTGTGATTACAAAATAACTGGAATGTAATGAGCTGAATTCTTCGCTATATTAGCTCATTACTCATCTTTCTTTTGACAAGGTGCTTCTTGACGATTATTATGATTTTGTTGTATAAAATTTATGGAAATTTCAGACGATAATTCGGACGAGCACGATAACGAAAAACCGATGTCTAGACATCGCGAGATGAAGCAACAACGTCCTATTAGCTCTATTTCAACGACACCCTCGGTAGTACCAACTTACAGGGGGCGAGTAATCGAGAAAGAGGTCAACTACGAGCCACCGCCGCCAGAAGGTATTCATATTTTTAGTTAGCGATAACTTCAGTTTCATTTATTATTCGCCGACCATCGTAGCATTTCCCAGAAAAAGTAGCTACTGCACTTGTGAAATGATTGGCCTCGAATTTGATTTTTATATGGATTATGAGCAATAGCAGTGCTGCCTTTGCTGCTAACAAATTTGATTCAAGGTCACAATACGATTACTAATTGAAAAGGTTGCATTTCATGATCTATCTACAGACGTCTTCTTAAATTCGGTCGACACAGACAGTATCAAAACTCCGCGCATCAGATCACTATCTGTTAATATCCTGATTTCGAAATCAGCGGAATGACCACTTAAAGCCATGTATTGATGGACTGGTAATGTAGTGACGGATGTTGCCATCAGATGAAGGTAGAAATGAAGAATTGAAGCTCAGCAAGAAGCATCCTTTAGAGTCGCCATCAATGAGATGGGTGCACGTATTTACATTCTTCGTTATGAAACTATAGTCGTTAAACGATAAAAAGAATAAAGCTCTGGGCGTTGATCAATCCCTTAGGGATGTGCTATGCATTTGACTTCATTAAGCATCGTTCGGAGGTGATTGAATGCTTATCTGGCCTTTGCAATGACTTGCGGTGGCCTACCGATGTATCGAGCCAGTGCTGCTATCTTCTCAGGCAAGTCTATTACCAGCCTGCCGACCATGGAGGGATGAAAAGCTTTGTGAGCCATAGGCGCTGGGATCGATTCCACCTGTGTGTTGCTGGACGCCTCCGAGCACTACGCCACCTGCACACTCGTTGCTCTTTATGAATTATGGATTTATAAATGGTCATCTTATGAGCGGAACACTCCAACTTATGGACAACGATCTATGGAGAACGAAACAAGTGTGAATTCTGAATGTTGAGGCAAGCCCCGTTCGTGGTTGCGAGTTAACTAGCTGTACTAATGCATTATGAATGCACGATGACGGTTATGCCCTATCTTTACCTATTCCCACTGTCATGTAATAGAAACATTATTATATCTCTACAGTTTCCAACTCTACATAAGTGATTTATTTCTGGATTTGTCGTACATATCATCTCATGTCGCGTGTACCAAGGTATGTTTCTTTCGTATAAGCTCGCTCAAACTACAAAGGAGTTCGCTATTTGAATTCGGTAATCGACTTCAAAATGAGGCTTTAAGATGAAATACCGAAAACTCTACGGAATTTAGTAATACGCTAGGAAACCTCTGTTAACTACACAAGTACGAGTGGCTAGCAGTGGTGATAACCTGAGGATTTTTGCTATAACTTTCTGTCAATCTGACAAAAAGCTTATCCGATAACAATAAGCCGAAATATCACTCGTTAAGTAAGTTCGAGTTTCCAACCTTCCGTTAAGTTTGTTAAGTAACAATCTTTTAAACCTGACAATCATCGAGAATTCGGTCCGGTATTACGGAAATCTCAATTCCTTTTTGTCATGCTTAAAAGCATCTAAGTCTGTATTCCTGTTTCGTGAGATTTAAAACAACTTCAATCTGAACTCCTTGATTTCTAGTTTTTTCTTGGAGAACTGGAACCAGTGGGTATTCTTTATGGATCTGCGTGGGAACTAGACATACTCACGGGTGAAAGTAGATGTGTGGAGTTGGACGTGATCTCCACTTTTCTCTCGCGTACTTCGAAGTCACTTAGTTAGAGACTTGTTATGAAGGTCTACGCGGTGCAACCTACATGCATACAAGCAGACTTGTGAACATATGAACTTGGTGCATGAACGTATCGATGAATTCGGTGGAGCAATGTGCGGGACTCCTCGACTCCTCCCGCATTTAAGCGGCAGGTTAAAGAAGTGGAAGTTGGGGACGAACTATGAAATTTCATTATGGTACTTCTTATGCCGTAATAATACATACTAGAGGAAATAGAAGTGTAAGTGTGGATCACATTTATGTTAATGTGCACCTCATTCAGTGTTCCGACCGCTGTGTAAACATAAAGACGTATTCGCATTTGTGTAAACCGTGCAGCCCAAATCACTCTGACGATATTTTGGGATATTAAAAGACGAATGTGAGGGAGCTCACTCTCTATAAATCTTTGGAAAAGCCCTGACCAGCATCGTAGAAACAGACCCGACAATAATCAGCTTATCTATTGCGCTAAAAACGCTGACACAAACAAGGAAAAGAGTGGCAAACGTTTGAAATAAATGGCGGTTTAAATGCGGAATTAAACCTCCGTCTTGGTCTTGTTGAAGGACAGCCTGAATCATAACCTCCTGAAGACAGCACGGCAACAAATTTGGCAAATGAGTACTCCATAATTGAAATATTATAAAATTGGAAACTCGCACTTATTAACGGTCTGCTCTTGCATTGTAATTCCTCTATTTCGGACACTTAATCCTTTCGAGTTTTTATACTAGTGCTGTACTTTATCCTACCTAATTTTTAAAGTTTTAATGTAGTAGAGTTTTTTAAGAATTTTCAGTGAAGCCGAGCTTCAAAGATGGTGATGAAACTTCTCGAAGTTTGGCGTCTCCAGCTGGGAGAACAGTGAAGTTGAGCTGTCGTGCAAGCGGTTATCCTGAGCCACGGGTTCGTAATACGATAATCGTATCTGAAGAATTTCATAGCTTTTTTAAATCCCTTTCAGAATAAACCTTTTTTTTCTAGGTTGTTTGGCACAAAAATGGTGCCATAATCACGGAAGCCAGTCCACGTATGACTGGAGCCGATTTTAAAATTCGGAAGGGCATGCTAGAAGTAGAGGATGCAGCTGAAAGCGATTCAGGAAAGTACATGTGTGAGGTGAGTGACATTTATGAAGTCTAGAATTAATTGCGAACTATAACTTCAAAGATGCTGAGGTATTTGGAAAACTCCGGACCACGGGTGTCTGCGGTGGGGAACGAACGCATTATTACTCAGTCTGGGTGCTAACACGTTCACTACCACACCAAGCGGGTCCTTCGTTTCGCCTGTCTCTCAGCTAATTCTATCGATCAGTACAATCAGCAATCACCCGTCAACGGGATTGATCTGAGGAGCCCAAATCAGCCATGAACTCATGGAATAGAACTAGTTGGAGACAGTCGAAACGAAGGACCCACATGGCGTGGTGGTGAACTCGTCAGCCCACGGAAAGGGTAATAGCGCGTTCGTTCCACACAGCAGAGTTTTGTAAAATATCTCAACAAAATTATGGTTACATGTCGCTATCAAAATAGATCGAAACCCGAATTATATAGCAAAAAAGGAAGGGGATTTATTTGCTGAGTTCATATCATTTCATAGGAAATGAGCTGGAAAAACTTGGAATCAACTTAGATGTGTCACTCGCTAAGCGGATTTAGGTGTTGGACCTGAAGCGTTCAACTTTTCACGTTAATAAAAATGTTTTAGGATCGGCTAAAATGTAAAATACAATACAAATTGGCAACGATAACAATTAGGCTGTCTAAAAAAATCCCATTTGAGCTTCTTAAACGTACATGAGCACTTGAGATAATTTTCCTACTCGTAGGTATTTAATTCTTTGGGGACCATTCGGAGAACATTCAATGTCACGGTCATCAATCGCATGCGCGGACCACCTATTATCGTCCCCAATATTCTAGTCAATCAGACGGTACGTATACTATATTGTTTCATTCGTTGTCAAATATAATATTTGGAGATTTATATAGTTTCATTGTTCAGTTTTCTTGTTCGTAGGTAAACGTGAATGGTACAGCTGTTTTCAACTGTCGTGTCGTTTCCGACCTGACACCCTACATTTTTTGGGTGCGAATCGATCGAGTCAACGGGTCACTACACTACTACAATGAAACAGCGAAAGAATACATGTTTAAGTACACTGAAATGGACGCAATTGAGGTTTGTAATCACGTAGTACTACTTTGTCGTCAAAGTATTCCGAAACTGGGAGAAGTTCATTCGTACATGAAGCTCAGTAGAGAGACCTATGTAGTTCATATTGAAACATGCGGGCAATATGAAGCTACATTGGCGAAGACCGTACTAAATTCATGGAGAATGGGCTGTTGTACGGATTTTCTTTGTAATTCAATCAATAAACATTACAACACGGCATGCTTTCATTGTCGTGCTGTTTGTCTACTTTTCGACGCTGATATGTACTGACATGTTGTCTTATGAACTCTTCTTTTTGAACTGACACGAAGTCATTAACATGTATTTTGATGTTCGATGGCTAATTTTCCGCGTTATCGCCTTCTTCGGTGCCATTTTCGTCTTTAAAAGGCAAAGATGCTTAAAATATTAAATCCCCTTCTGAGAAACGAAGGTGTCTCTGAAGAGAGAGAAGTCGTAGAAGGGTTCACCATCACGTGCTAAAGTACGCGCTAGCAATCTCACGTCAGCTCAAACACAGGAGGTCGTAAAATAGTATAAGCAAACTAATCCCGAAGTTAGTCATAGGGCGGTCTTTCGATTTGTAACGACATATTGTTGAAGTCATTAAGTAATTCGGTCCGGTTAACAAAATAAAATGAATGTAATTCATGATTTAGAATTCACGATTCATGAAGAATTTCAGAATGCCAACGTTGTTACAAACGACGATGAATCGACACTAACGTTAGTGAATGTAACGCTAGAAGATCAAGGCATATATGCCTGTATAACAGGAAATTCGCTTGGATCAGTAAGTTTTGATATCCTTAAGTTTTCAATGCTTTGCGTGCTAACGTCAGTAAATTTCATAGGTACTTGCAAATGCCACGTTAACGGTAAACGAATTTCTTGGAATGGTACTGCTCACAGGAAGCCCTGAGCCAGAATACTCAACATGGAGCATACGTGAGTCATTGTTCTCTGAATTGTACTAGTTAAGGAAATCCAAGTCGACAAGATGCCCTTGTAATCTTTGTGTCGACTGGCCTTCAAGAAGAAGTTACTGAGACAATTTCGAAAACGAGTTGTTTTTTAATACTCAAAACCTTTTTCAGTTCTTTTACTGTTGATAGTGATGTTGCTTTCGCTGATGCTCAGTCTTTGTGTTGCGTACTATGCTTGCTGCCGTATCACGAAGAAGCATCGCGAATTAGAAGATCGTGCTGTCTTGATGCCAAAAAAGAAGAGGGTAGTCCATAATTTCAGTTCTTTCTTATTGTATTTACGTTTAGATTTCTTAGTGTTTCTTAAATATTATTCAACTTTCTATTGTTTCATTGAAAGCTTACGGCCAAGTAATCTAATCTGATGAGTGATCTCAATTTTTCTTCTAGTTTTTCTGGCCTCATTAGTCATAGTAATTCTGACCCTTTTCAATTTGGGAGAGTACTTTGGAAACAACTTATGTGGAAAACTTATTTACTGATAAATAATTGAAGGTGATTGTTACACATAAGCCATATCCGGACGAAAAAGATGGGTGTTCGGATCTTCCTTCAACATATCAAGTTCAGGTATATTTTGTTTTACTTTGGACAAAGAATTTGCGAAGATTTATTGGCCAAGAGGATTCTAACATATGCTTATTGAGTTGTTCAACTCTACGAAGAGTCTTCTTTTACGATATTTCCACTTCTTTCCCATATTTTCATAATATCCATAATTGTTTATCGCCTCGTTGTTCTTGGGTGTTCGATAGTGTCGATAAACTCCAGTGAATGATAATCTTCACTAACCTTTATAGTCAAATGAGAGTGATGCCAACGGACCTGCATGATTCTCCGTGATTCGTGAGGACAGATCATTCAAATATTCAAAGGAATTTTCTCGTGATATTGCTAGGACATCCATTTGACTTTGTGAATTTGAGGGAGGTTTGCCGGCTTGTGACGTGTTGCCTTCAAGGCGGCAACAATTGCAGGCATTGATTTTGTCGTAGTTGGGCTTTCTGACGAAAACATTATACTTTCTTTGTGATTAGGTGATCTTTTCGCCTAAACAGTGATTCCCTTGCTCTACGTTGCAGTTCTATATGCAGAAACGCTCTTTGGCCATGCCGAAACGATAAGAAAAAAACAACGTGCAGTATAACAGTACCTTTAGCAATGTTAACTACGTGATTTTGCAGATTGTCGAGCAAGCATCATCTTCTAAAGGACGTCGCCCGCGCTTAAGCTCCGACTTGACACTGCTCTCCGATTACGAAATCGATCCGGATCCTCAGTGGGAGATCGATAGATCGAGGTGAGAACTAAACCGGAAAGACCTGTTCAGAGTAAGCGGCGTTTTAGATAGTGGAAAATGGCAGTTATTCAGAAGAGTGCTGGAGCAGGTAGTTTACCAAATCATCCCTTACCATTCCCGTCCTACATTGTAAGCATCACATTCCTTCTACTGCTCTCTTGTTTTTGGTACTCTTTGGTAGTTAGAACGCAACATGATATCAGCCACGTATTTAGACTACAGCTAATTGATATTCTTGGAGAAGGCGCATTCGGTGAAGTTTGGAGGGCAAATTTGCGTCCGGATAAGAACGACCCGGACTCACCCCAGGAAGTAGTCTTTTTCAAAGATTGATAATGGTTTATTCATTTTCGAAAAAGACAGTTTGTAATTGAAGGATACTCCGGTAGCTGTGAAAAAATTGAAATCGTCAGCACACGAGAAAGAACTCATCGATCTTGTTAGCGAAATGGAAACATTCAAAGTGGGTTGTTGTTGTTTTTTGTTTTTCCCACTTCTGCTGCAGTGATGAAGAAATTTTAATATTTTGAACTTATTATTTACTGCCTACTCTTTTGAATGGCAAAGAATGTTACGAAATATAACTTTAATGTTGCTGAGATATTTGCAAAACTCTGGAACGCAGTTGTCTGCGGTGGGGAACGAACGCGCTATTATCCTTTCTGGGAGCCAACACGTTCACCTTCACACCATACGGATCCCTCGTTTCGCTTGTCTCTTAGCTAGTTCTATCGATCAATGCCACCAGCAATCACCCGTCAGCGATATTGATCTGGGGAACCCAAATCGGCAATGAACCCAGTTAAGCTGAGACGGTAGTTATAACATTTTCAACTTATTATTTACTGCATACTCTTTCTAATGATAGAGTATGTTGCGAAATATAACTTTATTGATGCTGTTATATTTGCAAAAATCCGGACCGCAGGTGTCTGCGATGGGGAACGAACGCTCTGCTACCCTTTCCGGGGCTAACGCGTTCACCACCACACCATGCCGACCCTTTGTTTTATCTTTCTCTCAGATAGTAACATTTTGTTAGTTCTGGTCTTTTTAATTTTCAAACTCTTTAGTAGTCAATTAAACAATGTTTTTTGAACCTTTATGTCGTTATAGGCAAGCACTGGAAAACAGTCGCCTTTTTCCTATTTGTTATACATCTTTCTTAAAGATTATTGGCCGTAACGACAATTTGCTGAGGTTGATTGGATGTTGTACTGGTTCCGGACCACTATATGTTGTTCTGGAATTATGCAAATATGGAAACTTGAGGTAATTTCGGTTATTATTGTAGCCGAGTCTTCTTCGTGTAGGCTACAGCACACTGTTATCAGATAGTATCACTTTCTTTGGTGCGTATTTAGTACCTTTTTTATAGTATGTCATTTTATTTTTATCTAGAAAAGTACAAACGTTCTGCATTGCGACATCATCACTGCTTTTAAGCTCCCTTTTGTGTATTCAGGGCAATGAATGCGAGACAAGCAAAATATTAAATAATGGGTTAGCGCGAAAAAAAAACGCGGCACTTCCACGTTTTCCACACTTCAATTCCGACGTCCTAGTTGCTGGAGGGTTATTCTGAAAGTCGGACAGTAACCTTCGTTAGATTGGTCATCTTTCTAGCAGAATCACCGATTTTGAAAAGGAGTAGAAGATTTTCATCAGAGCACTCTGTTATGTGTAAACGTATGTCAGAAATAAACGTCATCTTTATAGCAACATAGCGTCACGGTGGAAACTGCTTTATAATCATTTATGGACTCGTGGCTGTCTGGTGTGACGATTTGGAGCTGGTCTGGCACGTGTTCTTTGGAAGCCTATAGAAAAATCGTACCGAATAATCACTTTGCAAGCTTAACAAAAAGTTAATTCGTTGGTTAATTGATCAACTAGTTTTTCAGTTATTTATTGTTGATTAGCTAAATAAGTCAATTTTCGAAGTGATCAGCATGTGCACCGATCAAGTGAGCTCAACGTTTCGGAAACCACTCTATGTTTGCTGTCAGACGAAGTAAGATTTAAGGCAGTGGAGGTATTTGCTGAGAAATTTTTTTTGTCCGGACAAGATCGAAGTCAAACGGTGTAAGATTCTGGCTATAGGTAAGGTATGAACCATTGTCTGATAGAACGTTACTAGCTTGCGACAAGCCATCGAAACGAGTGTGGACATGCACTGTCATGGTTGGAACGTGCTCGGATTCCTCCCGGCCTTTTTTTTCAACGGCATCAAACTACCGAATCTGACTTGTGTACTCCATCGCGTTTAACTGCTCGTTGCTCAGCGTTAGTTCTCAGGACGGGAGAACGTGCCAGTTCCGTTAATTTAAAAACTCCTTTTTCTATAGATGCCGCGGTAGCAATTGATGGAGCGAAACTTAGGCAATGTGGTAAGAGTCCCGTTCTATCGACAGCGCAAAATAACACTGATGACGTATGAGTTTGATTTTGGCAAAAGTGATAGTCTCTCTTGTTGTTCATGTCGCCGAAGTACCTCTACACTGAACAGATATGCAACGGCTGGTACACGGATATTGGCTCCAAACGCTAGAACCAGCAAAGCATGTTCGAATCTTGCAGGGTGACTTCAGTCTAAACTTTTTTGCCCAGTGCAGTTTCAGTTTCGTTGGCGGAGTGCGCAGGTTGTTTGCGCGTAAGAAGTTGCTGTAGATGATTGATTTCAGTGTCTACCAATTTAATAACTCAAAAGACCAACTTTCTGTAAACCTCGACGTAAATAATCGATACATTTATTTATATGTCCTTATGGATTGATCTTGTTTATCTGGTGCGAATTTGGTACAAGTTCTCGTTGTTATCGGTGTTGTCGTTGCTGTTGTTGTTGTTGTTGATGGTCCACTGTTGACGTTTCGGCGATTTCGTCTTCCTCAGAGTCGTGCTGTTACGAGTGGTACTCGAGTACGAGGTGTAAAATCCCACTCTCATAAACCTCTCAATTTAGTTTTGGTTAGTTCGTTTTAAAAACACTTGGAAGAGAATCTGCATGCTAGTTGAGTATGCTTAAAAGCCATTGAGATGAAGAGAACATTTCGAGTGGAGTGCTGCGTGTTTCGACAACCGACGAATTTGGAGCTCTTGGGAAAATCGGCGACTACAGTTTTTTGCAGAGATTTCCTTCGTATCCATCGTCCTCGCGAAGAAAACCAGGAAACAGTGGCCAAACAAGGGGAAGAAGTTTCTGATTATCTAGAGCCACGAAAATGGTCGGACAGGTGTGGCAACAAGGTACTATTGACAGGTGATTTCGGTTGCAAACAGTCATGTAGCACTTTTTTCCGGTGTTTTAGGTTGTTATACACAATATCACCCACAAACACCTGGTTCATTTTGCATGGCAGATTGCGAAGGGAATGGAATTTATGGCGAACAAGAAGGTACGAAAGCATGTAGTGTCGTACCAAAATTCATCGTTCAATCCAAATCTACAGTCCATGCTTGGCAGAATTTGTGGGTATAACAATGAAAACGTCTGCTCATTTTTATTCCATTGAACATCATTGTGGACTTTGTACTCTACTGCCTTTGTGTCTATTGATTTTATTCGCTGGATCGTTGATGGATTGTCGGGTTCTACAGCCCCCACTTTAATGTTTCAAGACAAAAAAAGGTTGTTCATGATTAATGATTGATAGGAACGATCTTTAGATCATCCATCGCGATTTAGCTGCAAGAAATGTTCTCGTCACTGAGAATTTCGTTATGAAAATATCAGACTTTGGCCTCTCGCGAGACGTTCACTGCAACGACTACTACCGGTAAGAGAGATTTTTCTTTTTGATAGAAAGATACCTACAAGTTGAAGTTTCCATGTGAGCATGAACCACTTTATCAATTTTAGGATGTATCGTGATAGATATAAGAGAACAGCTGTTCGCTCGATGTCTTTCTGTTTTAAACATATTGGGTTTCAGAAAAAAAGGAAACGGACGGCTTCCAATTAAATGGATGGCATTAGAAGCGCTCGATTCCCATATGTATACCGTTGAAAGTGATGTGTAGGTTTTTAAATATTATTCTATAGTAATACTATTGAAAAACTCATGAAAACATCAGCGGTAGTAAAGTCGGGTGAAGTACATATTTTTCTTCTAGTTCTTTAATAACACTTAATAGTTGTTTTTACTCATGTTTAGATGGTCGTATGGGATTTTACTGTGGGAAATTATGACAATGGGAGGAACACCTTATCCAACGATCGCCATGCCCCAGCTCTACTCGGTACTCAAGGGTGGTTACAGGTGACATTCTATATCATAACCATGATCTTTACTCTTCTTCAGTGTAAAATTACATGCATTTTTAAGGATGGAAGCACCTCAAAAGTGTCCAGGAGAGATTTATGATCTTATGGTATCGTGTTGGCAGGTATGTGGTAGAAATTTCTACATTTGTTTAAAGTGTGTTATGGATTCACAACCACAATGTTGCTGAGATATTTGCAAAACTCCGGACCGCAGGTGTCTGCGGTGGGGAACGAACGGCGCCATTGTCCTTTCCGAGGCGTAACGCGTTCACCACCATACCATGCGGGTCCTTCGTTTCGCCTGTCTCTCAGCTAGTTCTATCGATCAGCGCCATCAGCAATCACCCGTCAACGGGATTTATCTGGGGAGCCCACATCGGCATCGAACCCAGTTAGGCTGAGGCTGTAGTTGAAATCATAATGTTTTACTTTTTTATTTTCTGCCTGCTATAATTTTCACGGCATTGCGGTCCAGAGTTTTGCAAATATCTCAGCAACATTGTGGTTGTATTTCGCTTAGTGCCGTGCCGTGAAAACTATGGTAGGCAGAAAATAAAAAAGGAAAGCATTGTGTTATGGATTAATCCACTTACTTCTCTTTATTTAACAAAGTAGTTTTTATGCTGGGCATTTTGGTCGGTAAGAATTATAATGGCTGACTTTATATGGGCTTTAGGAGAAAAAGGAGAAACGTCCGACTTTCAAGATGATTGTTGATTATTTGGATTGGATGCTGCAGGACGCTGATGTGCGACAAATAGTTTGCTGTTTCATTTTAATTATCTAAAAGCAGTCTTAATTATGCTTTTCCTTTATTATCGTGTCATGCCTTTTTTCTTCCTCTCAGATTTTAAGGCATTGCGTTCATTTATGCAGCCACATATTAGAGACGAATGTATTTCTGCATATTCTTTCAGAGCGAGACCATGTTCGACGATATCGACGGTGCTCCACCGCCTCCGTCGAGTGACAGTAGCCTGGGAAGAAAACTACGTACGCGACCTCTTTCAGCTCCTGTTTTTCTTCCTTCTGATGTTAGTTCTTAGCAAATGTTCTTTATTATATCTTATTTATAAAAATTAGTTTGCTGATTTCTTCAGCCACAGCATACAATTTGTGATGAAAATGTGGACGGCGGCGGTTCTGCTCTTGTGATGGGTGACGGCGCTGAAGGATCAGAAAATATGCATTCGTCCGACCAGGAACATCAGTACTGTAACCAGCCGAATGAGCTCTCAACGACTACTGTACGACTAGTCCGTCAACACACTGGTACGCCTGAATACGGTATTGTAGTGGTTCCACAAAGCTTTTTATGAAAAGATTTGTAATTGGTATGTCTAGAACGATGGAAGAAACATGAAAGTAATTGACTTTTCTTAATTCTCCGTATTTTTGTTGAGCAAACGCGAGGTGTTATTATTCCTTATTCACGACGTTTCGGCGCATTTCGCCTTCCTCAGAGCCTGGATAGGTCAAGTTGATAGCAATCTACTCGGCCAGACGCCTCCATAACCAAACAAAGAAACTCTAAACCAAGATTTCAATCACATTGAACACAGCTTTGCACACTCACCGCTTTCTATGAGGTTTCCACTAAGCATGTCACGTAGAGACCAACCGCACAGAAATCACATGGAAGCATAATGTGCCCCTACCATCAGAATAGCAGTCTTATATACTGCCCTATATCACGCGTGATAATGGGGCATTCTTCCCCGCGGTTCATTTTCGGATTTCTGGAATTAATCCAGAACTCCTCGAGAGTTTTGCGCGCTTGTGTTCTCGATTCCTGTGCGAGGATCGTGACACATACTTCGAAGTCCTCCCCGTTATGTCTGTGGGTCCTATGCGTGCCTAGCGGGGTATTTGGTTGACGTTTGCCTGCTATTTGTTCTTGTATACGTAAGCAGAGTGGTCTACCCGTTTCGCCAATGTATTTGTCTCCGCACGTCTTACAGGAGATCAGACAAAATGTACTCGAGCCAATGCAATTACCGTCTCTACCATTAGGGCAAATTATGCAATTTTGCGCTGCACATAGACGGTTATATAGGCGGTTGTGAACTAGCTGGTGCCTAAGGGTACTCGGTGGCATTTCAACTACGTTTACCGAATTCTCTAAATCCGCGCTTCTGGCTTTTGTGTCTTCTTATAAGATTTAGTAGGCTTGAAAATCATGAAGCGTTTGCTGTGTTAATCTGGTAGACAGGAAACCAGCTGAGAAACGCAGAGTAAGGGCCTCTGTGGCACAGTGTGTAGTGCGCGAGCCGGCAAGACAGGGAAATCGGGGTTCGATCTGGTCCGGGGTCCAAGTTTTGCGAATATGTCAGCATAGTTGTGGTTGATTTCGCATGATACACTGCCGTGTAAATTGTAGTAGGGAGTAAATTAAAAGGAGACATTGTGATTTCGACTGCAACCTCAGTTTAACTGTGTTCAATGCTGATGTGGGCTCCCCAGATCAATCCCGTTGAAGGGTGATTGCTGATGGTACTGGTAGATAGAAAACTGGCTAAGGGAAACCCAGAGAATGAGCCTCCATAGCGCAGTGTGTAATGCGCGAGTTACACCTTCGTTATCGTTATGCTTGAAAATGTTGAAGACGTTGACGAGAGAGCTGATTATTACGCTAGATGAATGAGAGCTTCGAAGCAGAATTCTTTGAAGTGCTTTGAAGTGGAATGCTAGATCACTGGTTCTTTAATCACTCTATTGATCAGTTATGTATACATATGCTGCAATTTTTCGTGAATTTCCTCTATTTCATAAGGTTAACATTTAGAAAAGGCTTCAAATCGACAGTCTGTCTGCTCCGCATTTAGTCCGTCTGTTCATCTGGCTTCCATTTATCCAAACTTCCACCTTTCTAATTTTTTTTAAATGACATTTTTCGATGGGTCAGCTTCTGTTATCGCCTTCAGATGCTCATTTTCAACCACCGATGGATGGTGACTACGATCTTTCTCTTCATCAAGGTTCATATCTCCCTTATAATACTTATTGATACTTATACTTGCCATGTGTTTGGAAGGGCTTTTCAGGCTTTATACTTCAATGAAGCTTCAAGTTAGTTGTGCACTGCTGTGAGGAAGATCGAGCTTATGAGTTAAATGCCATGATTATTTTGCTTTGATAGCTCCATTATAACTACCCTAAGATCGTAGTGAACTAAATACGAGGAAGCATGGCATATACGGCCAGTAGTGAAGCGGAAAAAATTGTTACGTAATATGAAGCAGCAATAGTTAAGAGTATTTCGACAGGGTCTGCTAGTGGTTTCCAAAATGACAAGTACGGTCATACTTTTTGCACTAGTGTAATAATTCTTTGTTTGACTTCAACAAGTAAATGTATGCATAAATACAAGAGTGTGCGAATAGTTTAAGTAAACGCATTAAATAACAATTTAACTCTTTTCTAGGTTTTCGCTATTCGTCTGCGCTCAGTCAATAACCACATTTTATTTTTAACTATAGTTACTGCTTTTCAGTGGTTACATATAAATTTCAGACCCTGGATCGGTAGTACTTCACGTTGATGAGGAGCCAGATTACTCTGTACCTCGAGCTGTCGCTGAATTAGCTGCACCCTCAGTGGACTCTGCTATAGGTTCCCCTTCTTGGATCGCTCCTGAACTTTCAAACCACTCACATTATTCAGTCCCTTTTTTAGGTTGGAGATTTATACATTACTTTTTGCTTTAGCTTAAACGTCAATTGCTTTTAAATTTACCATCGTTATTTTTTGAATGAAATAGTCAACTGATATTGCTTTTTTGAAAAATTTTCCTGTACTACCTGTGACCATATTGATGATAGGTCTCAAGGTGGCCAGTAATGTTTTCTCGTTTGTCTTAGTGGAAAGCCTATATGAGAGAATTTAATAACCTCTTCAGCGATAGACGACAGGTTTTGACATTCGTTATAAATTTTAGTGAGTTTGGGCTCGTCAAGCGGTTGTCGTTTTAGCACCTCGCGTCGTCTAATCTTCACGACTTGCCGAAAGTAGTCGTAATAAATAAACTCGGAGTACTACTATTTATTATTTGTCTTCAAGATACTAGCATAAATAAAATATGAGGCTTTTCATGGTGGACAATTGGTTTGTAGCCGTTTTGCATATGAGTAAAATACTGATCGATGGTACTGGATGGATGACTGTTAAGTCTAAACAGTGCCGTCAGCACTGGTATACTGAGTTGTTATTGAATTAACGCATATTTTAGGATGGCGTCCACATTAACCATAAGTGTTTAGTAACATTATGTAAGCTTAAGAGCAAGACATTACTACTTAGATTTCGGAATGAACTAATTCCGAATTTTATTTCGACGGCGTATTTCATAGTGTTGATCTCGCTCTTTTAATATTAAGGACTTTTCCAACTTTTCGGACATAAGGCAAGAAGGAATAGTCTAGTAAAGAACGCAAATCCTAGGGTTTTTTCGATTTTTTTTTGTTCGTTTTGTAACTTTTCTATTACTGCTAAAAATTCCACATTTCGCTCATTTGTCATTCAAGATGAACAAGACCATTTTTGAGAACATCACCAGTGAGATGATAGAAATAATGCTAACAACAGTCTACGAAATCATGCTTGAGCATAGTATAAAGTTAAAATGCAGAACATTATTAGTGGTGAAATATGTAACAATTGAACAATGTAATTTAGGCGAGCTGGGAGCGGCGCGAGTTGAGTCGTCGTACATGAATGTACCTGGCCATCGCACCACTCCCACCCAATTTCTGTTCCCTCCGAGAGCATCTCTAGTAGATAGCGCTCTAACGTAAGTATTCCTTTTTTGAATTTATAATGATTCAAAAACATTCACTTTTGATTTTGATCTTACTGAACTCAGATAAGTCATGGTTATTGCAGGTTCTCCGATTCGGACACCTTCGGAAAAACGAGACAGTCATCTTCATCCTATCTAGGCACAACCAATCATGGTTTTTTACCGTCTCCAAGTGCGTTCACGTGCGCTCAAATAACTAGGAGGTGATCCATGCATATTACAAATAAATGTGCTGGTATGATCGCTCATTATTTAGTGAAGTTGGTTTGGTGCTAATACGAACTATACTTGATGCTTGATACTTGAATTGCCCATCCTCACTGTGCGGGCCCCAGCATAATCTCCATTTTTCGGAGATTTGTTGGTTAAGCCATTAGTGGTTCTTTGAAATCCTGAGGTCAACCTGGCCAAAGTTTACCCCAGGTTTAACCTCTTCACCACCACGGATAGTCGAAACCCTTGTGGGTCAGGGGAGATTTGTATTGATTTACTCTTAGCTAGGCTTCCTGATGGAAACGCCCGACTCAGCTTGGAAGACCCTGCCAGGAGATGAATTTGCCGTTGTACATCGCAGTCCGACACCAAGGACGACCTCCCAGCTACAATGAGGGGCAGTAAACCTTTGGGAGTAATACGAAATATTATCCTGTTTAATTGATATCCGGTATCTTCTACAACAGCATAAGTTTTTTGCTTCAAATATAACTTTCCTCTCTATGTGCCAGCAAATGTGTTCCCATCATTTGAGAAATAATATATCAGTCAGAGAGAGTCGAATTTTCATCATAAAAAATGAAACCGTTGCTTTCAAGCATTGACGTTATCTTTGCAATCTCGCATTTGCTTTCACAATGAAAGAGCATTACATTGCAATGTTGATACCTCCATGCTATTAGTTCTTCCTCTCTCTCTCTGTCTAGTCACAGCTGTTTTAGACTCTCTAACGCGTCGCACTGTTCTTCCGGAAGAGGTGGCTCCAGTCTGCTGTC